AGCAGGGGCCTGTGGAGGACTTCAGTGGGGTCGGGTCTGAGGCCTGGGGGTCAGGGCCTTCACCTCCCTTTCCCTCCCCAGAGCCACCTCCTCAGGCCACCTTCCCCTCTGTGGGCCTGGTTGTGGGCCTGGTCATCCTTGGAGCTGTGCTCACTGGAGCTGTGGTCACTGGAGCTGGTCACTGGACGTGGTCACTGGAGCTGTGGTCACTGGAGCTGTGATGTGGAGGAGGAAGCGCTCAGGTAGGGAAGGGGTGGGGCTTAAGTGTCTTGTCTCACTGCGGGTTGCCAGCCCAGGTAGAAGTGTGTTCTGCTTCATTAAGGGCAAGTACCATCCCCACACGTGTGGTTGCCCAGTGTGGGGCCCTATTTGCTGACACTCACTCTTTAGTAAGACACGTGTGGAAATGAGGGACAGATTCATCACCTTGATGATTCTAGTGATGGGCCTGGTTCACAGCACTCCCAGGTCAGAGTGGAGGTCCCTGCTGAGGACAGACCTCCAGGAGGATGGTTGATCCAGTCCCCACACATGTAGTTTCTTCAAGTTTCTTAATCCTGCCCTGGGTCTGTAGTCACAGTTCTGGAAACTTTTCTGGGCTCCAGGACTAAGAGTTCAGGTAGGATCTCATGACCCTGCCTCCTCACTGTCTTCTCACGGGATGTTTTCTTCCTACAGGTGGGAAAAAAAGGATCTATGATCAGGCTGCCAGTAAGTATGGAGTGTGACCCCTGAGATCCTGTGATAGTACAGTCTGGATCCTATGGGGGTCCTCACCCCCATAGTTCCTCCCTTAGTCTCCTCTTCTGGGGGCTCTGACCCAGTCCTGTTTTGTTCTACCCCAGACAGCAATGATGTCCAGGGCTCTGATGTATCTCTCGTGGCTTCTAAAGGTGAGACTCTGACGATAGCAGGGTTTGGGGCAAAAGGGAGAGGACTGGGTGATGGGGACTCTTTGGGACATAGTGAGCCTGCGTTGGGCTGTTGAGAATGTCACTACCTACAGCCACTGAACTGAGTTTGTTCATGATCATTTTCTTCCACAGCCTGAGGCACTTGTCGGGGACTGAGTGATGGGAGATTTGTTCACGCTCCCACTTTGTGATTCAAGAACCTCTGATTTCTTTCTGCAAACGGCATCTGAATGTGTGTGTTCCTATCAGCATAACGTGAGGAGGCTGGCACACCCCTGCCCACCACACCCCTCCCCAGCCTTTCCTCTCCAGTAGAGGCGGGGCTGGGCCGTCCCTATTCGTTTTTTTACTTCCTGGTGTGCTCAGCTGCAGCCTCTTACTGCCTGATTGAAATAAGAGTCTGGATATGCGTTCTTCTTCACTTCTTTCCATGAAGGGGTGATGGGTTCCTTAAAGGAGAACAGCCCGGCTGGTGTGCCTCAGTGGTTGAGTGCCCACCCAGGAACCAGGAGGTCTTGGCTGGATTCCCTTTCAGGGCAAATGTGTAGAATTCAGCTCAGTTCCCACCAGGATCGTGCAAGTGACAGCCAATGGATGATTCTTTGTCATCATTGATGTTTCCATCTGTCTCTCCCTCCTCTTTCCTCTCTCTCTGAATATCAATAAAAACATTTTTTTTAAAAAGAATTAAAAGATAAGATCCTAAAATTTGAGAGGAAATAAATGGAAACCCCAAGAACTTTTCAGGTCCTGTGTGTTTGCTGTGCTGAGGCTGCTTCCGGGGGGTCAGGAGAGGCTGTGAGGACCGAGTGTGGTCAGGACCGTGCCCAGTTGGCTCCCTGGTCTCTTCAGCTGGGTCACCTCTCTGCTCCTTTGTTCTTCTCCCTTCAGTAGAACCTTGTCCCACCAGGACTTTTCATCACAGGGACTCAAACCTCCCCAGGCCTTGTACATTGTCCTAATGAGGAACATCTCCAAACCCGTGGGCAGCGAGGCCTTCCTGTGTCCGGGTCCGCCTAGGCTCAGGCCTGGGTCCTGTCACCATCTTCTGGGTCTGTCTTTTTCTGGCTCGCCCCCCCTCTCCCCCTGCCTTTCCCTCTAGTGCTGGCTACAGTGGGAACCCTGGGATTTCTGAAGCAGAGTCTCCTGTAGATTCAGGGAGAGCCGCTCTGTGGGAAGAGCAGGTGCCCTGATGTCAATGTGAGAGCTCGCTGTGCTGTAGCTGCCACAGGACAGCTGTGGTCTGAGGCCACATTAATGAAGACATGTCTCTAGCACAGGGAGATGCTCTACACTGACCATTCATGAACCAATATTACTTGTGTGACAGTGTTTCCGCATGTGGGGAACATTGAAGGAAAATCAGAGAAGCTGCTTTCCTGTGGGACATACGTTATGTGGGAAGACTCAGAGTGAATAAAAAAGCACAGGAAACAAGGAAGGTGTCTGTGTGGCGAGGGCTAAGTGTTCTGGGAAAAAAATGCTATGGGGTAAGGCAATCCCAAGTGTGGCTGTGGAGGACACGAAACATGGTGTTTTTTGTTTGTTTTATATATATTAGTAGCCCGGTGCACAGAATTCGTGCATGGGGGTGAGGCAGAAAGAGGGCCCCTCAGTCTGGCCTGCACCCTCTCCAATCCGGGTCCCCTTGGGGAATGTCTGACTGACTGTTTGTGCCCGCACTTTAACAGATGAAGCTCCATTGTTGTTTCTTCTCATGCTTAAACCCATTGGAATTAGTAGATATTCAAAGTGTGTATACATTTTGGGGGGACACCCTGTATATCTCTAGTCACTGGTGAAAGGAACTAACAGCGGATTTGGAACCCCACAGACAGGGAACCTCCGCTCACTCCCTGCATGTTTCAACACTTCACTTTGCACCTCCACGGGCAGCGGGAGAATCAGTGTTTTTTCTCATTAACTCGGAAAAGCACATCGGGTCACCTGCTGCCCTGCAGGAGTGTGCTAGGACCCATGTGAGTGAGGCTCAGTCAGGGCAGCCTTCGCTCACGGGTGCTGGCACCCAAAGTGCACATTCCTCCTCTGTAGTCGCCCCAACTATCCCACCATTTCAGTGAAAGAATGGAACTCCTCGCCTCCTCTGGGTCCCTTATCTTGAATGCTGAACAAACACACCTCAGCAAGGGCCGCCCACAACTACCAGGTGTGTCTGTCTGCACCTGCTCCCGCCTCAGCACCTGCATTAGCCCCACGGAGGTGATCTGATCACTGCACTGGCCTCTGAGGGAACAGGGCGTCACCTCTCCGCCTGCTCACTGTCATCTCACAGGCGCCCACCCTCAACACCCAGAATACCCAGACACTCTCCAAAGGACATGAGCATGCCGAAGGAGATGTGTGCACATCCTGTGGGGGACTTAGGCATGCTGGGGTTGATGGAAGTGCAGCGGATGGGTGGGGGTAACATGCGCGCTTTGGTCCCGGACTGTTACAGGTGTGCAAGGGTGACAGCGTGCTGTGGGATGTTCACATGCCAGGGGGGCACGGAGAGGATGTGTGCACCAGAGGCCTGTGGCTTTGCAGATCTGCAGCCAGGAGGACATCAATCTGGCCTGTCAGGGTGGCTATCCCTGCGATCCATCGTGCACCTTCTGGGCCTGGAGGCAGGACTTGCACTGCCACTCCTCAGCGCTGATGGCCTGCAGGTGCTACTTCAGTTCGGCCCCCAGGCTCCGCTTGGCTTACTCACAGCTGCCACCGCAGCTATGTGGGGAGTACAGGCTGCCCACCGCAGGCCCACCCACCCTGCACAGAGGCTCTTCCCGGAGCAGCTTGGGGGCGAGGGGGGGGGCGAGATGCTGATGCGTGCTGCTCACCCGCAATCTTTGTCCGGTTAATTTGCATACTCACTCCGGTTGGCTGGTGAGAATAGCGGAGGGATGGATAATTTGCATGTTTCTCTTTTATTATATAGGACTAGAGGCCCGGTGCACAAAAATTTGTGCACTAGGGGGGACGGGGTCCCTCAGCCCAGCCTGTGCCCTCTCGCAGTCTGGGACCCCTCGGGGGATGACCACCTGCTGGCTTAGGCCCACTCCCTGGGGTTGGGGGTGAATGAGGAGAC